GAGGGGTGCGGACGTGGTGGTGTGGGTGTGGGTGAGCGGCGCGTGTGTGGAGCGTGGGGCAGGCAGGGCAGCCAAGTGGCGAGCTGCTGCTGCTGCTGCTGTTGCAGCTGCTCCACCTGAGGCCTCCGGGCCCAGCCCCGTTGGTGCCAGCCAGCGCCGCGCCGCCGCCGCCAGGCGCAGGACACACGGCCAACACCAGGACAAGCCACCAGGACGGGCAGCCCCGCCATCCCACTAACACCACCACAACAGGCCCACCACACCCACCCACCAGCAGTGATGAATCCCTGCGGGTTGAAGAAGCCGCTCATCCAGAAGCTGCGGGGGCGCCCCCCCGCCAGCCAGCGGTGCAGCTGGTCGTGCCGCGCCAGCAGGCCCGCAAACCAGCCGCCGCTGCCGGAGGCCTCCCACGAGATGCGGGCCCAGCGGCGGGGCACCTGCGGTTTGTGTGTGTGTGTGTGTGTGTGTATGTGTGTGCGCGCGCGCGCGCGCGCTGGTGTATGTGTGCGTGCTGGGTTGGGGTGGGTTGTGGTATAGTTCAGCTCAGCGCCTGGCAGCGAGCACCGTGCGGCAGCCAGCGCTTTCCCCGGCACACCGCGCTGCACGTGCGTTGGAGCACATGTGCCGGTGTCGCGTGCATGCGCCACGGCACCACACCACACCACATCACAACGGTACCTCACGGTATCGCACCCACCCGGGCGTTGAACAGCGCGTCCAGAGCCTCCGCCAGCTCGTCCGACAGCGCGATGGTGCCGGCGATGGCCAGGCGCAGGTCTTGCAGGGTGGAGGCCACCAGGGCCAGCACCAGGTTGAGCCTGGGGGGGTGGGTAAGAAAGCGGGGAAGGAAGCAGGGGGAGGAAGCAAGGGAAGGAAGCAGGGAGGAGTAAACAAGGGAGGTGGCAGGGAGAGAGTGCGCACGCGTGGGAGGCGGCGTGGGGGTGGGCATGGGGTGCGGAGCAGGGCCCGGCAGCAGCATGCACGTGGGGCCATGCCAAACAAACAGCCCGGCACGCCTCCACTTCGTGAATCGACAGATGTAGCCACCCCAGACCGCCCCCCCCACACACACACCTGTCGATCTCCTGGCGGAGGTGGATTGTGAGTGGCGCCTGCGGCTGCAGCCGCTTCAGCCGCTCTTTGGTGGCCTCGGCTTCAAACAGGGGGGGCACCTGCGGGAGGGGCGCAGGTGGTCCAGGCGAGGGCAGGCGGGAGGCGGAGGGATGCATTTCAGGGCGGCGCGGCAGGGGCGGGCGGGGAAGAGGCAGGTGTCAGCGCCGCATGTGGCAGCGCCTCCCCCCCTGCCAGCCAGCCTGCCGGCGGGCACGTTGCACCCGCCAGGCAGGTGCCCCACGCATCCCACCCCCGCCCCGCGCGTTCCGCGCCCCTCCCTGTTGACCGCCGACAAACAACACACTGTCCCCCCCCCACCCCACCCCAACACGCACACCACGCTACCCACACCCACACACT